CATGCTATTTGCTTAAGTTATCCCCTGAGCATGTGCTCCCTCAGCCTTTTAGCCTTATAAAACTATCCTGAAAGTTGTGTGGATATGTCTAGGAAGCCTCCTTCACTGTGTCTCCTATGTAGTTTTGTATATGTGGATGTATATGCAACACACAGATGAGTATAGACATATGAGCATGGCTTCAGAGACGTTATACATGTGTGAGCGTTTTCTCCCATAAGCTTGTCTGTGAGCATATATACACCCACATCTACCTATGTAATGACATACCTATTTTGATATTGTTGTTGCAAAATTGTATATATTATAGCCTTTACCAAAACTGCCTCTTTCTTTGTGTATTTCAGTATCTTTATTTACCCTGATCAAATTATGCTGACTTCACTGTCTTGCCTTTCCTTTCACCCAAAATAACAAGTGTTTACTTTCTAGAAAATGATCCCTTGTCCGTTCCTCTCCCATCCACCAAAGCACGTGGCTTTCTGTGTATGCATCTATTCTTGACTGTACATCATAATCAAACCATTCAATTCTGGTTTTTGTGACTGGCTTATTTTATTCAGCATAATGTCCTCCAGATTCATCTGTGCTGCGGATGCTTTTCAGACTTGGTTCTGGCTGCAGTTATGCATAATGCTGCAGTGAACATAGGTGTGCATGCAGCTATTGTTTCATCACCCTCACAGCTCTGGAGTGCACACTAGCAGTGGGATGGCGGAATTATAAGACATGTTGAGCTTTCGTGGAAGCGCCACGTCCTTTTCCAGGGGGTGGTACCCTTTTGAAATCCCTTTGTGCTCGAATGGTTCGTTCTCGCCCTCTCCCAGGCTTCATGCTCTTATGCTGTCTCCTGTCTCCGTCTGTTCTTTCACCGTATCTTAGCTGGCCGCAGTGTCAACATCAAATGTAATTTTAGCTTGTAAATTCTGTGTCTTAGAGGGTTTCCCCCTGAGTTTTAAATGAAACATTTAACTCTTCCTGTATCCCTTGAATATAAATTTTGATTTAGGTGACTCTTCGTGTACATTTCTATACCGTTGAGTGACAGGCAATGAAAGTGGTTCCTTTCTTGGTTTAAAATATAAGGTCCGGCTTTATATTGTTGATGTACAGAATGTGTTTGTAAATAGTCCATGCTTTCTTTCAGACTCAGATAGCTCTGCTTTCTTCAGAACATCATTTATTTTTAAGATGTTTATTTCAGAATCTAACTTTCTAAAAAGCACAGGCTCCCTGTTTTCAGACGGGAACTTGTGAATACACATCTGGGTGTACACCTGACAATATTTTGCGTATGATTTTTCACATGTGTTTAACTGGATGCCTGCCATGTGCATTGCACCCTACTGGGTTTCCCCGCTTTAAGAGGAATGCTGTGCTAGCCTTTTCCTTAGGCAGCGGTCTCGAGAACTCGGCCATCCAATCCGTTTCAGACAGTTTAGAGCTTACCTGCAAAGTATGACATCTGACCTTCCATATCTTAGAACCTGTTTTCACTTCTTTAATCTCTGCTTTGTCTTGGATGCTTTGGTAGCATGCGTTGAAGATTGACTCTTCTATGTGAAGCTGTAATTGTCAGGCTTAAAGGTGAACCTTAAAACTTTATATTCACTGTAGCATTAATCTCTTAATGACATTATCCTTAATGAAAGGGAAACGATGAAGGAAAAAGAAACGTAAAAGTCTAGAGTAGAAGATAAACACTCTAAAACTCTATGTTAGTTTCCTGAAATACTGTCTTCCATTTACTTAAAATAGTGAGTGATTTATGTTCACTAGAAGTTGATAGAATCAGAGTAGCATTATGATAATAATGAAGATTTTTAACTCAACACATTCCCTTTGGTTGTTTGACAGAGATTGGGATACAAGTATTATAAAATACTAAGTTTAATGTAGACTTTTAAAGTACTGTTCCCAAAGAGAGGAAAGGTACCCTAATATAATTTCTTAAATGTGCTGTTTAAGTAAACAGAAGTTAATTTTAGCGGTGGTAGTTTCAAATTTTTTCTTTGTACTTAGACGTTTTATTCACTGTTCGGAGAGCATCAGTCAGCTTAAATTTAATAAAAACTTCTCAGCGATGCTGCTGTTCATGTTGGGCTGGGGGTCTAATGGAGGGTGTCAGCAGTCATCAGTCTAATTCCTGTTAGTTTGGACAGGTTTAATGTTAGCTTTGCAATGGCAGGAATTCCAAGGCTATTGTATAGTCTGAAAATAAAAGCTTTTTAACATGTAGAATTTTAAATTTCATTTTGAAAAATGAGGGGAATTGTAGTCCATATGGGAGATCAAATAACATTTGGGAAGATCTTACTTTTAATTAATCATTAAGGAGTAACCATTAAAGTAATAATTACTCTTCCTTTACGGTTGTATGACCACCCCACCACTGCTATTGAGTCATTTTTGACTCATTTGTAAGACTTACTTTTTAAGAGAATAGAAATTTCAAGTTGAATATAAGATTTTCAAAAGTATTGTAATTTATTGTGAAATATTTCAATTATAAAAAAAATATAAAGAACACCATCTTGATAAAACATTACCAAAATAGTTAAAACTTATTTTTTATACCTCCCAACATCTATCCCCTAGCCCCTTCTAACCCTAAGTAGCTATTTTCCTGAATTTATATTTGTCATTCTCTTAACAGTAGCTTTTAATTACTATTTTATAACTACTCATAAAGTCAAAGGAGGAAATATTTTTGCATGGCATTCCTATTTTAATTTGTTCCTATTTTATTTATATAATTTAGGATATACCTGTATTATAAGAGTTATCTATGTTTAAATGTGATACTGCTTTTGCTAACTGACATTAAAATTTAATATTTCAGATCAACTAATGTAGTGTCATTATTTAGAATAGCTAACAGGTTGTAGGGTATAATTAGAAACACAAGTTTGCTACAATATGTAAATTCCAAAGTAAGCAAGGTCTGTGCTTATTGATTGTGCTTTCGTAGATAAGACAATAATGAACTTCAAATGATAATAGTAATTTTCTAAAGTTACTTACAACTCTCTCTGTTTTAATCTTATGCCATAGTTTGCTTTGCAATGCTCACTATCATTTGTCTTCATTATATCAATGTTTTTATTAAATTAAACTTTAAAGATAAGTAATTGCTTTTTTTTTTTTTACTTTTGTGCAGATGATCATCTGGTTGGAGAAGATGTTAGACAAAATAATTAGCATTTTCATCATATTTTTGTTAGTGATAGGAACCCTTCTTTTAGCCCTGCTCCTGACTGCAAAGGTAGAGTACAACAATTACTATCACCAATAATAATCTCTTAAATGTTAAAATTGTGAAAAGCTACAGAAGCTTCTTGGAAAATGTTACTTGGCTTTTCAACAGTATAACAGTTAATGTGCGTATGATTTATGTAGTATTCATCCCACCTTGCATTTACCTAGCCTGTTTGCTTTTCAGTATTCTATACGTGAGTTTTTATTTTATCTTCCACAAAATGCAGATGATGAAAATGAGATACCGAAGAACAGGTTACTTCTCCTTTCAATAGGGGAGCTGTGTTCTGGTTCCATGACTCGTAAGCCCGTCCGTGGGTTTAGCCTTTTTTGATTAGCTAGCTTATCTCTTGTCTTTGTGGTTTTTCCTGTGGCTCTTCTTTCATAGAATCTTTATTGTTTATCACCACTTCTTTTGTTGTTGTTGTGACTATACACAGGAAAAATACCCTAATTCAGCCTCTTGTACATGTACTACTCAGTGACGATGACATCACCTGCCAGGTGTGCTCCCAGTCTCACCCTTCTTTTCTCAGTTAACATATGTTCATTGTCCCCTAAGGTTCCTATAGAATCTTTCAGTTTGCTGTCGATCCACTATAAATAGTTAGCATTCTCAAGGCAGATATGTTTTTACTAGTTTAAGCTAAAGTACGTATTTTGGAGTTAAGATGACTTTAGGGGTAATTTTGGTTTAAGGATCACATGTTTAAATATTAAAAGGATAATAGTTTCAAAGAGTCATTCAACCATCATGCCTCCAGGACATCTTGAGTCCATGAAAATTTGAAATTCTGTTGTGCACTTTTCCCCTTTTGATCAGGATTCTTCTATAATAGTTTTGATAAAAATGTTCAGTAATGATAGCTAGGCACCCGCCAGTTCTGGTCTTGTGGCAAAGGAGGCAGTTTTTATGGAATTCTGTTCTGATGCTCCTCCTTTCTGTGTTGCTCAGGTGACTGAAAATCAATTTTTGTGCCTTAGATGACTGTTAGCAAGATTTTAAGACCCACTGTGCAGTAAACTAGCAGACAGAACAGAGGCCTTAAACAGGTGATGGGGCCATTACCTGGGATGTGAAACCATGACCTTAAATCTCCAAACCAAGAAACCAATTCCCTTATCAATAGGGTCTTTATTTATCTCTTCTCAGGTCCTTACTGTTTACATGTTCTGTTCCCCCTTATCTGAAATAATATCATGCTTCTTCAAAGCATAGCTATAATTTTACAGAACAGTGATAATGTCTCTTATAGTGCATCCTAATCTTACTTTTCTCTAAACTCCACTGAATTTGTAGAATGTATGTCATATTTTACCATGTTTTTAAGGAGTTATGTGCTTATATGGAATCACAAATTTGGAAATTCTTTATACAGTACTATAGAAATAAGTTAATATTTTAAAATCAATATTCAACAAATTAATCAATCTAATATATATTAGGTAGCAAAAGATTATTTTTTGTTTTGTGACCTCTGCATTTGGAAGTCAATCTCAGCTTCCATCCACTATATGATCTTCCTTCTAGTCCTGAGATTTTCTCCAATAAATCTTCGATTCTTTCTAGACTGTTCCTTCTCTCTCAACTCAATGGCAGTGAGTTTCAGTTTTGGTATAGTAGTAAAAAGTAAAGAAGAAATTGAACTTGATGTTTGAAAATCTTTCTCTAGAGAAAGGGTCAGTGCCAGATGACTTTACTGAATAATTTTATCAAACAGTTTTTAATGAAATAATGCTTTCCTATATAAGTTCTTTCAGAGAATAGTGGGAGTGTAACATATCCTGACTCATTTTATGGCACCAGTATTGACCAGATATCAAAATAAAAAACATGCAAGGAAAGGAAGCTGCAGACCAATTTTTCTCCAAGGACATAGATTTAAAAAGTCCCTTACAGATCATAAACAGATCCAGCAATACATAAAAGGACAATATACCATAACTCATTAAGTTTATTTCAGGAAAACAAGCTTGGTTTGACTCCCAGTTATCACTTCATGTAAGGTACATCAGGAATCCAATGACATCTATCCCATCACCCCATCGCTAGCACGGCGGTCTTGCTTAAGCTACCATCGTCTGTCACTTGAACTATTAGCTGATCTTACAGTTGCATCCTTTTCTGCATAGGGATGTTTTCAACACAACCAAAGGGATCCTTTGAAAGTTAGTCAGATTATGTCACTCTAAGCTGAAACCCTCAATGATTTTCTCAAAACGAAAGATTCCTTTCGAAGAGCCTTATGTGATTTGCCGGTTTGATTTGATTCTCTCCATGCTGTGTCTCACATCATTTTCTTTTCCCTTTCAAGCTGCAGGTTGTGTTTTGTGTTCTCTACGTTTCTGGGGCTAGATGGAATTTAAGTGGGTAGGATGATGCTCCGTGATGGTCACCTATGCCCTTGTTAGCATACCTAAACTCTGTGTGGTTCTGGCTTTTGTTTGTTGTATCACTTTCCCTGGTTTCTCTGCCATTTAGTCGATATCATTGTCATGCCCATTGAAAAGTTTCAATTTTTGCATTAGTTTCCTAATTCCATACAAGAGAGAACTTCTTGTTCATTTTCCTCGTTGGTCAATTTCCCTCCCATGGCAATTTCTCTTCTTCATAAAAGGGAAAAACATGGGCCAGTTACAGCTTTTGTCCTAATTTTACTTTTCTCCACCAGATTTGATGCTAGTATAACCTTCAGTAATTTGTCAGCTCACCTGCCTTTTGGATACAGGGGTTAATTGATTATGTTGTTTGGGGATTATTTGGACTAAATCCACCCCCATGCTCCTACTTATTTTGCAGCAGTAATGGGCAAGGCACATTCTAAGATGCAGTGTCACTTGCCTTTTTAAACTCAGAAACCACTTAGCTGCTTATTTGCATTACAAGTCTACAAGCTCATTATTGCCTCTGCTTTATCTATGCATGCATGTCTAAACTAATTATACATTGTGTTTATTGTAATACATGTGTACATACTTGTGTACATATGTATTTGTGTATTTTCCTTTAAGTATATAGCTGAGCTGCTGGAAGGCTGGGAGACGTAAAATACCTTTTATAGTGTGTATCATAGGCCATTATGTATAGCAACTGTTTCGTCTTTGAGTGTTAATAGATTAGAATTAAGATACAAAATTATTTGCGCCTAAGCACATTCTGATAATAGACTAGAAAGTAAACATTAAAACAAATTTTAATTGACATTCTCTCCCCTTATCCTTTTGTTCCTAAACCAGGTACATCAAGAGAGTGTACACATGATTGAAGTTACGAGTAGTTTGATTAATGAAACACTAGCAAATCACCCGGAGTGGGCAAAGTAAGTATGTTATTTTGAACAAAACTAAGATAGATGACCTAGGTGAGGATCTTATTTGAATGAAATGATGTTAATTGATGCAGCTACATCGGATGGTCGAGGTTGATGGACACTGTCGTTTTCACAGAGGAATGCTCTGTAATGCTGAGCTGGGGCGGGAGTGCCTAAGATTTGGGGAGCAATTTATGGTAAATGGTAATCTTGTATAGGATTTACATTTTGTCAAACATGATTGTAATTTACCAAATAATCTCACCTGTATTATGTTGTTTGTTTCCAACAGGGACTGAAGGTAGGATAGAGAATTTGAAATGATCTGGGAATAAAGAGGCTGCACTATTGCCCAGAGCTTCTGACCAATTGAGGAGACTTTATAACTTGTAGATATTCAACTTTTGTATAAACATTGACATATTCTCAAACTGTGTTATCGATGTGTTAGCCAGTTATGACCCAGGACCAAATCTAGCCCCTGGATTTTCTAAAGAAGGTTTTGTTATAACATAGTCATGCCCGTCCATCTATTTTCTGTGGCTGCTTTGGAGTCACAAAAGCCCATTGAATACTTGTAAACTACATCATGTTTCATAAAGCAGTAGTGTTTATTAGCAGGCCCTTTCCAAGGGGAAACATGTTTGCAAATCCATGTTTTAAAACATCTCTTACCGTACTTGTTAATTTGGCTTCTCTTAGAGGAGTTTTATATCTTTGTGAGGAATGTTTAAAAGAGCTTTGTTGTTCACATAATTGAACTTGGTGACAAATTGCATGGCCTACTTTTTATTCTAAGGTAGTCACTGCTTAAGAAGTTGACATTTAATTTGGTTTTGCATCCTCTTTAACTATATAAAACTTGGGTAGGATATTTCCACACTTGAACATGGCTTAAAACCATATTTAAATGTTCTTAGAAGAGGAAAAGATTGACAAGGGTGCATGGTAGGAACTTTTGAGACAAGTTTGAAGTCTGTAGAGTAAACCAGGTGAGAAATGATAAAGACCTGAACTAGGAACAATTGCAAGGAGGATGACAGGGGACAGTTTTATACGCTCTTGAGATTCATTAAAGAATAACTGGTTATTGGAAGAAGAAATCTAGTATAAACCCCTGAGCTTCTATCATTAGAAATTAGTGATAATACAGACTCGGCAAGATAGAAAATAGAAGAAAATCTGTTTACTTACTTTTCCCCTGTTGAGTTTAAAGCTTCTGATGGGTGTGTCCTGGTGTAGTGGTTATATGCTGTGCTGCTACTGCCAGGTCAGGTGATTGAAACCACTAACCACTCTGGGGGGGAAAGGTGAGGCTTTCCACTTTTGTGAAGATTTGTAGTCTCAGAAACAAACCCACAGGGGCAGTTCTCTCGCCTGTGGTTTACTGTGAGGGGAAATGTACTCGATGGCTGTTAGTTTGATGAACTGGTTACTTTTAAAATTGTAAACCGTGATTTATTTCACATTTCACTTTTTAGTTTATACAAAATGTCCTTACTCCCAATTAGTCTAAGACCATTACTTTCCTAAGCTCCATCCCTTATCTGTCAGGGTGCTTAGCTTTCTCTTTATGATTGTCTGACACACGCAAGCACAGCACAAGCAAGTTACTCATTCTGCTTTGATGTGAAAATGACAACAACTACATAAGGCTGCTGTGAGTTGGTATTGTACATTTTACTTGATTGACCAACTTACCAGGAAAAGTGTGCTTAAGGGCTGTATCTTTTCACCACACTCAGTCCATCTGTGTGCTGAGCAAGTCATCAGAGCAGCTGGATTATATGAACAAGGTAGCCTACACAGGGCTGCCTCTCACTTTAGACTAGATCGGGACATGTACACAGGTACAGATAAGAGCTCATGACACATGGAATCCAGAAACAGAAAGGGGAATAGCCATACCAGAAGCGTAGGGGGAAGATGAGGTTAGGAGGGGAGGAAGGGGGGACTGATCGCAATGATTGACCATAACCACACATAACCCTCCAGGGGGAAGAATAACAGAAACCATAGGGGAAGGGAGACAGCGGTCAGTGTAAAATATGCAAATCATAGTAATTTATAATTTATCAAGGGGTATCATGAGGGTAGGGGCAGGGGAGGGAAAAAAGAGGAACTGATACCAAAGGCTCAATAGAAAGTAAATGTTTAGAAAAGAATGATGGCAACACACGTACAAATATGCATGACACAGGTGATGTGTAGATTGTTGTGAGTTGTAAGAGCCCCCAGTAAAATTATCTTTGAAAAACATAAAGCAGCTTCAGGAGTGGAGAAGCTTAATGACCCTCTGCAATCTGAAGATGTTGAAGCAGTTGCTGATGGAGATCAAGAATTGCAGCTTTCAGTATGATTGTGACTGAGTGTAAAAGAGACCAGAATCCTTAACAGTGGACCTCACAGCTCCATGCTAAGTGGAGAAAGGTCGACGTGGTCAAGGACTTCGTCTTGCTTGGATCCATAATCAGTGCTCATGGAAGCAATAGTCCAGCATTGGCTAAATCTGCTGCATTAAACCTCTTCAAACTGTTGAAAAGCAAGCAGGTTACTTTGAGGACTAAGGTACTTTCATTTACTGAAATGCATATGAAAGTTGGATATAGAATAAAGAAGACCGAAGAAGAATCACATTGAATGATGGTGCTGGTGAAAGTTCATGGACTGCCAACAGAACAAACAGATCTGTCATAGAAGAGTACAGCCAGACCGCTCCTGGCGGGCAAGGTGGCAAGACTTTGGCTCACGCCCTTTGGACGTGTTACCAGGAGAGACCAGCCCTTGGAGAACGATAGCAGCATGCTTGGTAAAGGAAAGGGACAGTGAACAAGAGGAAAGCCCTTGAGAAGACTGATGGACACCGTGGCTGCGACAGTGGGCTCAAACATCCGCACAACCGTGAGGCTGCTGCGGGGCCAGCAGCGTTCGTTCTTTTGTACATAAATAGAAACGGACTCGACAGTACTTACCAACATTGATGTACTAGCTGGCGGCCTTTCTTTCTCCAGCTCTGCCGCATGTTTCTTATTTAGGGCTCAGGAAAAGGATGCATTGCTATTTGCCAGGGCCTTTTGGCATTCTTGAATATTTGAAATCAGAACTTTTACATTTGTGAATGTTTAAGAATGTTTTCTCTTTTGAAAGCACTCAGCAAATGTAAAGGATTACTTATTAAGGCGCATTAAGTAGACGGCTTAGTTTACAGAAAAATGGTGAGGCTTATTTTTACTGGATATGGAATATACTTGTAGGGTATATGCCATGTAGAGTTGTAACTCAGCTCAGGAACTCCCTACATCTTAAAGAAATGGATCATTGGAGAAATGAAAACAATTATTCATTCTCTTCATTTTGTGACTGCTTCTACAGTTTCCCACAATTTTAGAATAATGCTTCACTTACTTTTTAGCGTTCACCAGAAACACTTGTGGGAATTGTTAGGTACAGATTGCTGCTGCTTCCCAGCCTCCAAAGTTTCTCATTCAGTCGACCTGGTTTAGCGACCCACCCCACCCCAAGTTTGCATATTTAACAGATTCTCAGTTATTCTGCTGCTGCTGAATCATTGATCAGTCGCTTTGGAATGCCTGTCCCAGGCCCTTGCTCCCTTAATAAAAGAGATGAGGCACATGACCCAGGAAGTGTATGGCCAGAGAAACTGGGCAGAACAGATGGAAGGGAGGGTTGAAAGGAATGTGGCTCTCGAGGCGAAGGAAAGCTTGAGGGCCCCGTGTTAGAATTGCGCCGGTACATCTGGGTGTGTTTCCTTCATACTGGTGTTTCATTGTCCGATCAATGATGTGGTATCAATTGTTTAAGTACTTTAAGTTCAAAGGGTTGCTGGTGCAGTGCGGTAAATGTGTACTTTGTTCTTTATTTTAAATCAGCTGGCTTCCTGAGGCTCAGGTAGTCCAAAGAGCCCTCAATTCTGCAGCTAACAACGTGTATCAGTATGGCCGAGAATGGATAACACACAAGGTAGGGGGAGAAGCTCTCTCTGTGGCTTTCTCTTGGCAGGGCATTCATTGCTCGGGACTGTCTTTGATAGAGCTTAAATGAATATTTTGCATCAGAACCATTTAATATTTCTAAGATGAGGACTAAGGAGTGGACATTTACTGGGAATGGTGAGGATTAGAGGTTAAGGGAAAAACAATTCCAACAGTGTAGCACGACTAGAAGCAATTTAGTAGCATGAAACACTTAAGTTTGTTTGGGGCAGATTTGAAGATCCCAGCATATAATTCATTATACTAGATTGTGCATAAGATATTAAACTAGATTATGTCTGTATTTCTTCCAGCTTCATAAAATTTTAGGAGATAAGGTGAACAATACTGCTGTAATTGAAAAACAAGTGTTAGAACTTTGGGACAGACTCTACCACTCTTGGTTTGTAAAGGTGAGTTACTTTAGCAAAGGATTTCCATTTCCAACCCACAGAGTCCTTTTACTGTGTAGACTCGTCAGCTGCACAGGATTGCATTTTTACAGAGATTGCACGTATTGAAAGATTCTAAAGAGCAAGATCTTAAACCTCATCAGGTCCCGGAAAGTCAGCTTTAGTTGGTGTTTAGTCTCCATGGCAGCATCCTTCTTCCCCATCTGGATGGGTCTCTATTCTTTCTTCTGCACATTATCCCCAACACCTCTTCCTTTAGACCAGCTCTGTGCAGTAGACTCGAATACAAGCCACATATGTAATTTTTAATTTTTATAGTATTCACTTAAAAGTAAAAGACATAAGCAGATGAATTTTTAAAATATATTTTACTTATGTCTCAATGCCTCAAATATTATTTCATATTGGTATCTACATATAGCCTCCTCCCTGGGGGACGGACAACAGAAAAATGGGTGAGGGGAGATGTCGGACGGTGCAAGATATGACAAAACAATAATTTATAAATTAGGGTTAATGAGGGAGTGGGGAGCCGGGAGGGAGGGGTAAAATGAGCTGATGCCAGGGGCTTAAGTGGAGAGCGAATGTTTTGAGAGTGATGAGGGCAATGAATGTACAATTGTGCTTTACACAATTGATGTATGTATGGATTGTGATTAGAGTTGTATGAGCCTGTAATAAAATGAGTAAAAAAAATATTACTTCATATTATGAAATCAGTAGACAAAAATGAGTTAATGTGTACAAGATTTTTTCCTGATAAAAATTTGATGTATGTTTTATACTGGCTGAACATCCAGTTTTTAGCTGGTTACAGTTTAAGTGGTTAGTGAGTACTGTTTGGAATAACACAGCTCTAGATAGTGGGAACTTTTCTCATCTTGAGGAAACGAAGAGAGTTCCAGAAGCTTAGACATCTGTCTGAGTTATCTAGTGCTGCAGTAACGAAAGCCCCTCCCTTAAATAGATGGCTTTATCAAATGGAAACTTGTTTTCTCACAGTGTAGGAGGCTAGAAGCCAGAATTCAGGGTGCTGGCTCTACGGGGAGGCTTCTCGGCTCTCTGCATGGCGTCATGGAGGTGAATGCCACTGCTGAGTTCTCAAAAGTGGGAGAATAGGCTTAGGTGGAGAGCAAATGTTTTGAGAATGATGAGGGCAATGAATGTACCAATGTGCTTTACACGATTGATGTATGTATGGATTGTGATAAGAGTTGTATGAGCCCCGAATAAAACGATAAAAAAAAGTGGGAGAATAGAAACACATGCAAAGATGTTAGGTCTTTACCTGTATTTCCACACTAGCCCCACTTCATTTAGTCACATCTCAAATTTAGTTTTCCCTGCATTTCTGCCATTAGAATATGCTTCCAGAGAAACATAAATCAGATTTTCCCCTGTATTTTAAAAAAAATTTTACACTTTAAAATCTAATCTTAAATAAAAATTTAAAATAATTTTAAAGTGTGCTCACTTTGCCTTATGTGAAGATGATTATTGGAAAAGGAGGAACATAGGGGAAAAGTGGGAGACCAATCCCAAAAGTGGGAGAGACAAACGACGGCAGCACACGTTGTTCATAGACGCTTCTGTCAAGGAATAATGTGTGCTTGCTCACAGCGGTACTTCGGAGGTCAGCATTTGAGTAGGCTCACACCTGGTACCAGAACGTAAACTGCAAAGTGTTATATTAGGGAGGGTTCTTCTGTGCTTTATTCAGATAATGCAGTTTCTCACTTTGAAGTTCTCTAAAGTGCTTACAGTGGACCTGCCCCATAGCGTTAGGATTCCTGAGGCTGTTGGGGGACAGACACATCTTTCAACTGCGGAGCAGCTGGGGAGGGGGGCGGGGTCCAGTCATCCCTAAACCACTGCACCGCACTACCCGGGCTTCTCAGGGCATTCGCCCTCTTTATTTTTTAAGTTAAGATGGACATTTTGTATTTTGAGCTGTTTATTCCACAGAATGTGACACACTCCGGGAGGCACAAAGGACACAAGATGCACATAAGTCGTCAGAACAGCTGGCTGGGAGACATCCTCGACTGGCAGGACATCGCTTCCTTTGTTCACGAGAACATCGAGACCTTTCTTTCGGCAAGTAATAGTATTCTGGTTAAATTGAACGTACAAATAAAAGCTACTTCTCAGTTTTACTTAGGTAAGTAGACGCCTTGACTGCCCTGCTGGTAATGTCAGAGCGTGCACAGTTCTGAGAGCCCTCCCTGCACCAGAAAGGTGGCCCAAAGCCAGAGGTGCCTCGTGCATCCACTCTGATGGGCCCTTTGTGGGCGGACTATTCCCGAGACGCTGCATCACGAAGCCCAGGCACAGTGATGTGGTTCTCAGGTAGGTGTTCCAGCCCCGCCTCCACCTTGCTAGGCTTCTGTAAAGAGGCAACTGCTTTTTGCCTGGACACGGCGCAGGAGTGAGGAAAAGTGTGTCCGTGGCTCCAGTTACATTAGAGGGAGACTGCATTTTTAAAGACTTCATTTGTTAACTTCCCAACTACCCTGCTACTTGAGATCCACACCACCCCCTGCCCTGACTTCTGTTATAAAAGAAGGCTGCCAAGAAGAGCTTGCAGCATTGCTAGGGTTTCACTGTGCCTTTTGATACCTACACAGTGCACTTTATGAGGGACCTTAGCACGTAGTTTCCACAGATAAGAGAAGACTTTTCTCGTAGATAAACATGTGACTTTTCCTCAAGGTAACAGTTGATGCTTGTCATGCTAGATTTGCTTACATTTTAAAATTCTTTATCATAAATGGCAGCGCCTCATTCCATGCTTCCCAGCCCATTCTTTTTCTCAGAAGGAAATGTCAATTAAAAAAAAATGTTTTCCCCTCTCTGGATATTGACTTCTGAATTCCTACAATATGTTTATACTGCTTTGTTATTTTTGTAGTTTTCGACGTTATCTTCTAGCTTCCTAGTATGGAAAATAAAGACCAGGATGTGACTTTATGATGTGACCCTCAATGCTTTCTTAGAACTCCCTTGGGAATTGTCCTCGGAATAGCGTCTGGCAGTGAGAGTGTGGTGGAGTTTGTGCCTCTACCCCCTCCTCCCTCTCGAACTCCTCTCGTCAGCTCCTTTACCTAATAGAGTGTGGCATGCAGACTAGATTTTTGTGTCTCTCAGCTGTAAGAATACTTTTATATTGTGTATGTTTGTCATTTCTTCTGTATTCTCTATATTAGAAGTCCACAGTCATGTTTGAGAACTTTGAAGTGCTTTTGTTTATATGGCCATATCTAGTGATATTTATCCTATTGACAGTTAAAATTAAGAACTTTAAAAAATATCACATCAGTTACAAATATTTTGTTAAGGAACATATTTTCATGTATGAAAAATAACTTTTCTGAAAGTGAAAAAGGCTTAGCTCGATGAGTCATTTTCCTTTGTTATATTGTTCTTAGGTGCTTCTAAGTTGTTTCTGACTGACAGTGACGCTGTTTCCAACAGAGTAGGACATTGCCCAGTCCCATGCTGGCTGTCCCAGAGCCCATTGGTGTAGCCACCGTGGAGCCTCTCCTTTTCGAAGGCCTTCTTTTTCATGGATGCCTTGCTCCAGAAGCCTGTCCCATTTGGTAACATGCTCAAAGCACATGAGGTGAAGTCTTGGCAGCCTTACTTTGAAGGAACATTCTGGCTATTCTTCTTCCAGCATAGGTTTACTCGGCCATCTGGCAGTCCGTGGTGTATTCAGAACGCTTCACGAACACCGTGACGCAAAGGCACCAGTTCTTATTGTAGTCTTCTTTTTTCATTGTCCATCTCTTTCACCTATATGAGATCATTGACAATACCACAGTTTAGTGTAAGACCCTTGTCCTCAGAGGGACCGCTTTGTTTTTAGCCCATTGGGTTAAGTTGTTTGGTTTCTGAATGGCTGCTTCCCTGAGTGTTTATTACGGGTACAAGTAAAATGAAATCCTTGACAACTTCAGTAGTTTCTGCATTTTTCAGGAGGTTGCACACTGGTCCAGGTGTGAGGAATTTTGTTTTCTTTGTCTTGAGTTGGAATCCATACTGAAGGCTGTAGTCTCGGGTTTTTATCAGCAAGTGCTTCAAGTCCTTTTCACTGTACCAAGCAAGGTTGTGTCTTGTGCATATTGTAGGTTGTCAATGAGTCTTTTCAAAATAGGGACACATTCTTCTTTATATAATCTCAGGGGTTTAGCGTGGCACATAGGTGGATAAGTATGGTGAAATAATATAACTTTGACACACATGGTTCCTAATATTAAGTCACTTAGCATCCCCGCGTCCTGTTTGAATGACGGCTTCTGGTCTTGTATTCACATTGTTCAAGAGCAAAAATTAAGCATTCTCGAATTCCCGTTTTCACCTATGTTATCCATACTTTCTAATATATTTGCACAAATCTGTTTGATGTTAATTCTCCTATCTGCCAGTATATACAGCATTTTGGAACATACTGTTTTGGCTGAAGTATATGAAGAAACTTGGCCTCATAGTTATATAGTTGGATAAAGGGGTAGTCTTTTCAATTACTGTGGCTGCTCTTCTTTGATCCCCAAACAAAAACAAAACCAAATTCACTGCCATCAGGTCAGTTCCGACGCACGGAAACCTGGGGGATGGAGAATGCCCCTTCCGGTTTCTGAGACTTTCAATCTTTATGGGGACGGACAGCCGCGTCTTGCTCTCGCTCCTCTTTGGTTCTGCACCAAACTCACAAGTTACTTCCTACGGGTTAGTTCCAATGGGAAGTTTTGAAACCATATCAATGAGCCCCTCGTAATCCTTTTTATTTAAATCCATTGGTCCGTTGTCACTAAGAATGAACCTTTTATCCTTGCATGTTTTGCGATTGCACTGGTTGTTGGAAATATTGATTCACGCACTGATTTTTGTACATCTTCTAAATACTGCTGCATTTTTCTCTACAGTTTTTAAAAAGTCACATTCTTTAATATTATCACCTACCTTAACAGAATAACTTTTTTTAAATATTAGGGAACTAGCAAGGCTATAGTGATAAATGTAGATTTTCAAAACTTCAAATTTTTTTTATCTTGAAAGCTCAAATTCTATTATTGACAACAACATATACTAGTAGTCATTTCCCAAAAAACAAAAGAAAAATCAAATCAAACCTACCGCTCTCCTTGACATCCTCCCCGTGCTGAGGCTGCCACCATGGAGCCGATGAAGGACACACTGGGCTAAGGTTTTCTGCTCTCGACTTGGGATAATTTTGTCTGCACAGTTCTAGTTTCTAGAGTTTCGGGTGCTTTGTAACTGGTGTTGGGAGACCCGGGGTCACATATATACTCCGTGTGTTTGGTGAACATCCAAAAGATTGCCAGCTTGAGGTCACTTAGAGATGCTGAGGAAGAAAGGTCTGGCGACCTGCTTCTGAAGCGTCAGCCATTGAAAGCCTCACAGAGCACAGTTCTTCTCTGAGACACGTGGGGTTGGCGTGAATCAGAATGGACTCCGTGGCACCCAGAAGTGGGGTTATTGCGTCCGGTGTTACTAACATTCTCCTCTTAAACTTGGGCATATCAATGGCTAACGTTAAACAAATGCCCTTGTCATTGTGTTCTCCAAAACCATTCTCCTTGCGGATCCACGAAAGAGTACTTTATTATTGTTGTAGGCTATCGGTCTATAATGAATACATTCAGTTGAATTTTTTTTAAAAAAGAGTTAGGACCTTTTCTTTATCAATATGACCCAGAAACGATTTTAAATATTTTTGGGTAAAAATTCCAAAACAACTGAAACCCCTGAAAGAATGATTGTCAAAGTCAAAATGAGGCCATTGTTGGCTTCTTTCTGGAAATCAATGGCATTGTTCATTCAGTCTTTCTTCTGCTAGGTCAAATGGTCAGTCATGCATATTTTTGTAGGCATTCTGAAGCAGTTTCATGATTTTATATAAGAAGTTTTTATAAATGGAACCAGCCTGCAAAAATTCTCTTATGAAGACCGAGCTGAGGTTTGCAAGAAATGTTGAGAGCAACAAAATATGCCTTTATAAGTGATATATTTGAGGTAGGAAAGGAATGGATAGGCCTTTCTTTATTAGAACAGATGGTTTAACTTGACCATGTGACAGAAAATAGGACTGCTGTTTTGGAAAGGACACTGAAATGAGCATTAGTCATTACGAGTTCTGCTCAGAGTCCTGGTTTTGTTCAATCATTCCATGCCCTTGGGAAGAGTTTAGAGGTCCCCGAGCCTATATTTGTGTATCTGCAGAGAAGATCCGTCTGCATTCCTTCCCTCGGTGCTGCCATGAAGCTTTGGAACCATTGTGAAAACTGTAATGAAAAGTGTTTTGTCTGATGATTTTGTTTTCATGTTTTTCTATTAGAGGAGTGAATGTCAATTTTGGAAAAAAGAACAGGTATTATAAGGGAATTAATGAAGAGAACACGCATGCAGGTGTGTTATTGCTATTGGACCTCCTCTTACAGTAGTATTTAATGAGTAGTAATAACTTCCTTCTATCCTACTCTCTATTTGAGTTTGTAGGTAATTGAACAACTGTGAATTTGGTGGGTCTAAGAAAACTCACTGCCATCGAGTTGATGCTGACGCATAGCTACCCATAGGAGAGGGTAGAACTGCCCTGGGAGTTTCTGTACTGCTGACCTACAGTCAGCAGCCTAACTCCTGACTACTACACCACCAGGGCTCCTGGTAGGTCTAAGATAAGTCTTACTATAAGGGTCATTGCCTACTTCAGGAAGATTTTTAAGTGCAGAACTCAACCCTTGAGCCTCCCTGTTTAGTACGTTGGCTGTGTTTGTGTAGCTTTGTTTCTCAGGAACCCAGGACAAAGCCAAGTGATTTGGGTATGACATGGAAGTGAGGCTCTTTGTGTGGGTGGTGACAAATCTGAAGGTGGAAGGGGACCAGTGAAGACATACCAGAATTCTGAATGTCAAACTGAAGGTCGAATAAGGAGAAAAGTACTCAGGAGCTTCTGAGCTTGCTGTAGCTGTAGCATTCTGGCGTATTTTTCTCTAGGCAATTGTTTTTATCCACGCCATTTTCTTAGACAGTTAGAACCATCCTCTGTGTGATTTTTTTTTTTGCCTTCTAATTTTTAAACCTGGTGTATTACATGTGCTTTTCTTTCTTACAGAGACATGTTTCTAATGAATGCTTGGTATTCACTTAGGAGCTTTAGTGGCATAGTGGTTCAGTACTTGGCTGCTAACTGGAGGTTCAGTGGTTCGAATCAACCAAATGCTCTGCGAGAGGAAGATTGGCAGTCTGCTTCCACAAAGGTTATAGCTTTAAAAACTCTGGGGGACAGTTCTTCTCTGGGTCCCGGCCATGAGTCAGAATCAACTATAGAGCAGTGCGTTTGGTGGTTTTTGTTTTTATTTTTAAAAATTACTTGGAGTGGATTTAGCATAATTTACTTAAACATTTTGCTACTGCTGAACATCTACATGTTCTCAGTGTTTTTTCATTTTATATTCAGTGCTTGTGTTGCAACTCAATGGTCCTAGAAACTAGGTTAAAAGCACAGTGGATCATCCTGGAATGTTTTCGTAAGGTTCACTTCTGATAACTGGCTGCCCTCCTCTCTAGATCTTAGAGTCTCTGTGGATTGTGATGAGCCGGAACGTGAGCCTGCTCTTCACCACGGTCACTACACTCCTGACCATTCTCTTCTACAGTGGGACTGCCCTGCTCAACTTCGTCCTGTCTCTGGTACGTGCATCCGCTGAGTCCGCATCACTTTCCCTTCAGCACTGAAATATGTTCTCGGCTTCGTTTTCTTTTAGGGAAGTTAATCTTCCTCTAGTCCCCAAATGTGATTACTTAGGAGATGCTGTCCTTTGTTTTGCAGATAATTTTCCTGACCACCCTATTTTATCTATTAAGTTCCAGTGATGAGTACTACAAGCCGGTGAAGTGGGTGATAAGCCTGACCCCATTATCTCAGCCAGGTCCTTCTTCTAATATTATTGGCCAGTCTGTGGAAGAAGCTATCAGGTAAGGAACAAGACTCAGTATATTGTTCATATTTCCTTCAGGTACTGCTTTACATGAGATGCCTGCTCGTTTGGTGTGTTGAGCTTCCAGTAACACTTAGAGCTAAACATGTGAAAACCAAACCCACTGCTGCCAAGTTGATCCCCACTCCCAGGCACCCTGTGTAGGGGCTGATATTGTCAGGAGCAGAAAGTCTCATCTTATTCTTGCGTCATGCCAGGTGGGTTTGAACCACCGACTTTGCAATTAGTAGCCCAGTGTCTTAAGTCACACTGCCACCAGGACTAGTGAAGGACATTGATATTTTTAAGCTCATTTACAATAGAATGATTTTTTGTTCTTTGATGTCTGATCCCTGATCCCTTTGACACCTCATGATCACACAAGCTGGTGTGCTTCTTCCATGTGGGCTTTGTTGCCTCTCAGCTAGATGGCTGCTTGTTTATCTTCAAGACCTTTAAGACCCCAGATGCTATATCTTTTAATAGCCGGACACCATCAGCTTTCGTCACCACATTTGCTTATGCACCTGCTTTGTCTTCAGCGATTGTGTTGGGAAGGTGAGCATCATGGAATGCCAGTTTAATAGAACAAAGTGTTCTTGCATTGAGGGAGTACTTGAGTAGAGGCCCAATGTCCATCTGCTACTTTAATACGAAATCTATCAATATATGCATATAGATCTATTTCCCCGTCATCATATATGTAAATATATTTACATATGTACATGCCTATATTTAGACCTCTGTAAATGCCCTTTGCCTCCTAGTTCTTTCCTCTGTTTCCTTTTACTTTCCTCTTATCCCACTATCATGCTCAGCCTTCATTTGGGGTTTCAGTAATTCCTCTTGGTTACATTGCCCTTGATCAAACCCTACCAGGCCTCTTATACCCTCCTCACCATCGATTTTGGATCACTTGTTGTTCCCTTGTCCCTGGGTTTGTTAACACCACTTACTTTTACCCCTGCCCCTCTCCCATGACACTTGCCCTCCCCTGAACCATCAGTCCAGTTGTTTTCTCTTTCAGATTGTTTAGCCCGCCTATCTTATCTAGATAGACCTGCAGAGATAATAATATGCACACAAACAAGGCAGAGCAAAACAAAGCAAGATAAGAAAACAAAACAACAATAACCAAAAAAACGACACAAAAAAGGAAAGCCTGTAAATAGTTCAAGGTCTGTTTGTTGACCCTTAGGAGTGTTCTCTGGTTGAGTCTGATGGGGTGCCACAGTTCATTTGGCCCCAGAGTTCATTTTTGGTATTACGTTGGGAATTGCTTGCTCTGATCCCCTTGCTGTTCTGTTGCCCGCCCTTAGTGTTTTGCCTCAGTGTGGTGGGGTCAGATCGGGCACAATTCCTGCACTGTGTTTCCAGTGTTGTCCCTTGTAGGGGTACGGTTCAGTGAAGGCTGTCATGTCTCATAGTGGGACCGGCCGTATGTTCATCTCAGCATTGGCTGCTCTGAGCGGGGATATCGTCCTCAGGGCTTGGTGGGCTAGGATGTGTGCTCCACTCTTTCTTTCTCTCCCTTCATTTGCTCCTGTGCACTCTGATGAGACAAGTCCCTGTCCCTGAGCTGCAGCTTCAGTGCTGTCATCTGAAGTAAATTCTTCTGGGGGGAGAGGGGGTGGCTGTCCACGTGGTTGGGATTGGAGTCGGACCCTCAGACCACTCTGTTGGTTGCCTGCTTCATGCCGGTATGCTGCACTCACATCTTGGAGCACTGGCTTAAAGTCTGGTCCGTCTTTCCCTGTGGAGATATAAACAACAGCCTTCCTTTGGGTGGGTTATTGCCCTGTTCCTCCACCGCCCATGTCTCTTTTTTTTCTTTTCTTTTTTTCCCCTTTCCCTCTCCTTTTTAGTTGGCTACCATATGTATCCCTGGATTTGGTCTGGCCCCTGCCATACTACCTG